TCACCTTATTTAAAGTCATACGATGTAGATCTGAATTTTATATGCAACCATGTTTTGACCTAATTACATCATTTATGATTATATACTGTTTTAAACGTCCTGATTGAAGTTATTAAGTTATCTTTATTTATACTTAGCTTTGAACGTGTTACTCATTATTAGCATTATATATTTTTTCGTAAAATAAATCAATTAGTTATTATTAGTAGTGAAACAGAAAAATTTAATGAATAGTGACCAAACCATCCAGCTCAGAGAACAAAACTCCACCAAAACCATTCACCTGAGCTACATATCTTCTCCACCATCTCAAAATGAATAGTGATGCTGTCCTTTCTATTTTTCACTTCAATCCCACTGTCTTCATTTGGTCCATAATCGAATTAAGCTTATTTTAATTGTGTGTTATGTTCAAATGGAATTTGTTATATTTTCAGTCAGATCTTAAGATTGATTTCCAAAGTTTTTCAACCTATATACCGTTTTAGATGCAATCATAAGTGAAAATTATTGTTCTGAATGGGTTCATATCTTCGAATGACTCATTAAGATCATTATTAAAGTTTGCTGATGAATTTTTCAATGATCGACTGGTACAAAGGATTAGTCATATCGAGTACCGTCAAGACTGAATAATCGTGTTGAAAATCTTAGAAAATTCAGATTGCCGAAGTACCATTTCAATAATAGCATAGTTCGAAATGCTTCATCATCGACTTACCCTGACTTTTAACCTGCAATTCTGCTACATAAAGTGGTTTAACTGATGAAGTTGCTCAGTAGTGAGCTGCCAAAATCTTTTAGATTGTTCCAAGCAGAAATCCTACATGATCTACATTTTTATACAGTCAGTATTTTTGTTTATTTCCACCCACATGAGTACACAAGAATTCATTAGTACAAATCCCTTTCACAATCTTCAGTCTTACAGGTTATATCTTCTCGGCCGGTAAAACAGAGACTTGGTTGTTTTACACCGAGACCAATTTTCGTCAAAATGGCTTGACAGAGCAAAGCTGCCGCTCTTTTCAGTTTTACATAAGGATCAAGTGAGTGAACATATATCACCAAATATAAAAATCACTCGAAAAGAGAGTAATAATCAGTGACCATTGCACATTCATCTTCATTTTGAAGTAAGCTGTCTAGTTCATGCCATCAACGACCACAAAGACTGACCGTGAATGAGAATTTTAAGCTGTCCTACTTCTTACTATCGTTCTTCTCTGAGATACTATAAAGATTACAAATAACCACCTACTACCAACATTGCACTTGTGTGATGATCACTCTTACCAATAGTCAAAGACCACTCTTTGAGGTGAAAATGAATTGCAGTAAATAAGTACATTTTTAAATCATGCCAGATCCAATGCACCATATCGTATTTAGCACAACGTTAAAACTTCCAGATTTTATTTAATTACACAGTCGTTCACTGAACCTGGAGAACACCTAACCAACGTACAGACACAGTTCTTTCACTGTGATACGTTCCATTTTGAACCCAGTCTATAGGTCTTCTTATCTAATCAGACCCACGTTATTGTACAAAGGTATTAATTCAACACAATCCGTCACTCCGATTGCTGAAAGCCATTTAAGAAAGATTTGATATGGATTTGTACAGACAAACATAGCATACCACTGAATTACACTGTAACAATTATGGTCCAGTGGTTATCCAATCTCCATAAATACAATTAAAATATTCTTCATTTTCAATTCATTTCCCGTTACACCAAAATAACCAATAACAGCTGATGATCATAAAGTCAAGCTGAACAACTGTGACTCGGAGTGGTCAAAACATCATAGTCTGAGAATGCTTAAGTGACTTTTGATCTTAACAACATCCGTTTTTTTCTATTAATGTTATCCGTGTTTTGATGTTTTGAACTTTGTTATACAAAGAAAATATAAAGTGTACGATTATTACTTCAAAGGTTTTTGAACCAACTTTATCGCGCTTTGGAACATTTTTACTAAAGCATACTCATACATTTCCCCATTTTGCGAGACTGTGATTAATGAGACAATATGAATTTCGTTCGTGCTTATTTAAATGTCACGCAACCCTAGGACAGAAATTTGGATAACTGCAGGGTACATATTTTGTGACAAGTATTTAGTATTGGTGACTCTATTCATCCTATGCTTCTGGCTGACAAGGTTTGAAAGTCTTCATTAAAGGTTCAGTGAATAATAACGCTGAAAAATATCCAAATTAGATAACCCAAATATTATTAGACTCGTTGTCCTTACCTAACCAATTTCAGTAATACGAACTGACCAAAGGCATACAAACAAGAAACAGAGTTGCCTCTTAGTCAGTATCTTATTTTCTAAAGAAGAGAGAACTCTTTTTTTACTAACGTTTGTTAGTTGTACCAACCAGGTCGTCTGAATTTGAAGCTTTTAAACTTTATAAATTACGACTGTGGCAAACTATTCGAGTATTTGATATTGATGATAGCTATGTCAGTCTTAAAAGACCTTAACCTTTCGAAGATTATTGGAAAAGACTAATCACTAGATAACAACTTGTCATGCCGTAAAACATTTCTATTGATTCGGTTAACCAGTTCGGAAATAACAGCTGACTGTGCAGCTGGATAAAGTCAATTATATATTTTTTACTAACCATATTCTCGTTCTTTTACATTTATCATTGGATTATTTCGTTGTTAGCCCCTTTAACACCAACGTTATCTGATTCTGCTTAAAAAATTGTTTACAAGTTAGAACAACATGTTGCTGAAAGGAAATGTTATGGGAAAACTGTGGACATTTGGCTGATTAACACCTTTTTATTGCATATTAATAATTGTACTGTGTTTTTGGATGTATTTGTTTAACTTAACTTTTGAACTTGCTTGTTTATATCGTTATTTTCGGACATTTTGGTTTCTCTTTGTCACTGGCTTGGTATTTGGGAGTTTTTGCTCCGGGAACCTACAAAATTGAAGGTTTGTCTTGTAATTGTTATAATTATTGTTGTTAGAACGACATTTGGGTCGACTATTTGTAAATTGCGAATAAACTTTCGTTCTATTGTTAATTTGGGTTCGTAAATTGCAAGTAAATCGATATACTGTACTTCAGTAAAGGGAACGAGCAAAAACTTGGACGTACCAGTGTAGTGGCATTGGACAATAACCACACAATCCTCAAAGCTGAACACGAGACTACTTGGAAAATAGATATTCAATGTTTAACGCTGAGAAATACCTAACGATAGAGAAGGCGGGAACAATGGGTAGAATGAATTAGAGTTGATCGGATGGCATGGCTCGGCCATGAAGGCGTGGTCCCTGATGAATGTTACCTCATATCTTTTATTCACATTAAATATATTGTTCTATCTCTAGCCTAAGTTTGTTCTCTATCATTTATTGGTTAGTGTCACAATGAAGTGAGTTGGTGTAGACGACGATGTGACTTCCACGTAAGATCTTATAGATTAGGCAGGTATATCATGACAAATCTACAGTTGTAGGATTAGGTCTATTATTAGAGCAGTAGAAATATCATAGTAGACCATAATTCAACAACAGGAGGTTTATGTTAGCCTACCTCAGGATAAGCACACGCCTGGAAAGCCAAGATTATGGGCTAAGCGAAGCGCAACATCTTTTCTAAAGGTCAAACGAAGAACCTGGCATAAGTGGAAAGTCTCACTAAAGGATTAAGGCCGTAGCTCATACTTGCGATTGAAAAAGAAATGTAACGCACAAGTCTACAGCAATGGATGCGGTTCAGGTCAAGCTAGCGACCAAAATGCAAACTTACTTCAAATATTTCGGTAAACTCATGACCAGCGAAAAGCCTACACACCAGGAAAACTGCAGAAAAATCTAATTTTTCTACTCATTGGGACATTACGAATATACTTTTCATTCAAAGATCCAGATGTACATATGAAGCGAAGAGAAATCACTTGACCTTCAAAAGGACTTCACAATAACAGATGAATTAACAATAGACAATGGGTTAAGGCTTAACCTATCGAAATGTCATGTGATGAACATTATGACTCAATTGACACAGTGCATTTACATCCTCAGTGAAAGCCTGCTCCTGACTGTCTTCTCAGAGCGTGATCTCGGGCTTAAAACCCCAGCAAGCTTAACCATCAACCCAAAATACATAGCGGATGCCAACTCAATACTTTACTTTATGATTAGGTAACTTTAAGCGATCACCCCACAGTTCTCCCTAGCCCCAATTTGAAATCTGCATTGTCAGTGAACCCCTCCCCCCTTTAAAAGATATGTATCTCTTAGATCAAGGAAAGAAAAGGGCAATAAAATAGGTGGGAAGTCTAAAATATTAATCTTACGAGGACAAACTCTAATACCTAGGACCATTCTTGTTGAGCTACAAGAGAATATGAGGTGATCTCACGATGTTATATAACATATTAAGTACACCAAACCTCCCGAATACGAGCTTATTACCAGAACATCAACACCACTCTCCTCAAGACAACGCTCGAAAAATTGCACACCAATGAGAGTGTCTATGTTCTCGCACACTTTTTCTCATTATGAGTTGTCTCCAGCTGGAATACTCTCCCAGCCGAAGTAACCCAAGCCCATCAGTGGATAGATTTAGGAGGAGACTTGACAAACAAATACTCACCCATGGATTAACGTCTCCCTCTTCTACCAGGATTGTCTTTTACATGTCTTGTAAATTACTACGGTTATCGTTACTACACATCAGCAGCAACTTTATCTCCATCCACGTTTTCGTTCCTTCTTCGTTCCTGCTAATGTGATAGTTGCTGGTATTCAGAAACCCTACTGCCTGAGACAATCGTACTCAGTCAAACTACAAGATATATAAATCCACAAATAACTACCAAAGTGAGTAAAATTAGCAGAATCACATGGTTAAACTACCATTCATCGGGCATTACCAAATGCCTGGAACCATACCGTGGCAAAAAGGAGTTTATGTAGGTTGAAAAGTTTGTTTTAAACCGTGATGTCATTAGTGAGAACAGCTGTCGTTTATTTGAGTTTTCTAGGACGAAGATTCTAAACATTTTCGAAGTGAGGAATGAATAGTTCTAGGTATGCTTATGATAAAAATTATGACAAGGCGTATTTCAGAAGCGTAGCTCGTTCTAAAACAAAAAAGTCCAAACCTAAGTCAGATGTCAAGTTAGTGCTCACTACAAATCAGAAACGAGATTTGCTAGAGGCTTTCAAACTTCTAGATAATGAAGGATCAGGTCTTATTAAAGCGCGTGAAATAAAAGTTGCTTTGAGGGCTTTGGGTTTTGATCCAACAGCTGCTGACATCAGACAGATTATTTCAGAGCATGATCCCGAAAATAAAGGTATGTCAGTATGACGTATTAAATTAAGTTTGAAGGTTTTATTGACTTCAAGGGTTTTCTTGATATTATGACGTCCAAAATGGTCGAAAAAAGTGACAAGGCAGATCTCATAAAAGCCTTTAGGATCTGTGATGACGACGATTCCGGTAAACTAACACTTTCGAAACTTAAACGCGCTGCCCAAATACTTGGAGAAGACATAACCGATGAAGAAATACAAGTAAGTCGTTGCCTGAAAGACACACATTGTTTTAATGAAAGGAATATGTCTGATCTGATAATTGTGAAAGGAGTCGACCATTAGGTTACATAAATCGACTGATTTCCTTGGGCTCAAGACCAATTGCTAAGCTGCCGTTTCAGAGTTAACTGTCACATGAGACGGCTCAACCGTGTTGGTCCTCGCCAGTAAATGAATTGACAGCATTAATAATAAGGGCAGTACATAGCTCGAGAATCCACACTATTTCTTTCTTTATACTGTGTTGTTGACGTTATACTATTTTTCGAAGTTGTTGACAAAGGATGAGAACTTAATCAGAGTCATTTTAGGTTTCAGTAAAAGTGAATGGGAATCATGGTCCATTATAACTTATCTATGATCAAATTTCTTATAAAATAGTACATCAAGTATATCTACATCCTAATGAAGGATCTGTAGATCACCAATGCACGTGATCAGTGTCGATGACTGAGGTCCCACTCTGATTGGACTGGAATGATGAAACCAGCCAGCTTACGTAGATGTCTGACCTCATTGTCAATGCCTAGCGTGGATTGCTGTCTTGTCTTATTCAGGTACCTTGATTACTTTGATGACCGTATAACACAAACAACAATGTTATATAAGTGTATTTGTGAGAGTAGGTACAAGAAACAGAGTGCGACTACTGCCGCATGAACAAGTTCATGGCATTTAATTGAGTAATATGGGTTGCTTGTCCTTAAGCTTGACGAGGGTCGGTGAACTGTTTTATATTCATTGACCAGACCACCGGGTGACATAGATAGGGTCTAGTGACATTACACTAACCCTACGGATCAAAAGCTATGTCATGTTCAAGCGACCAGTTATACTATCGACTACGATGATAGTGAAGATGCCACAGGTATTCGGAGGTTGACAACGCTTTAACCAGTAACACCTTCTATGAACCGTACCCACCAAGTGAAATCAAAAGACAGAAGCCAGGAGGTTCGAAGATATATTTGATAGGTCACTACAAATATATCGAGGATCGACTGACCTAGACTGGTTAGCGATTGCAAGGGATGTTGAGCACGGCGTTCTTACTCGTGATCGGGTGCGGATGGTTGACCGAACGCCTTCAGCTAGGCGAGTCCATTAAAATTAATGTGGTCAGCATCCAATGTAGAAGACTTACATAGCTATTTATCTTGGGTATTTATTTACCGCTACAATAGGCTCTCATCACAATCAAACACTAGAACTGTCACATCAAAACTCCATCACCTGTTCTTACTTTTAGAAATGGTTGTTTCAGCTCCTTCGTCCATTACCAATATGTTTCTACATAGTACAAGATTAAATTGTGGTTGTCTTACTTGCCTAATAATAAGTTTGAATATCTCACAGATATAGAGGTTGACATGAGTCAGAAATAAACGAGAAAGTTTTGAGTGTCTGGGCTGGAGTTATGATAGCTCGAATCCACTGAGTGTTAACAGAACACAGTTTATTTACCAAGCAACCAATATACCCAAGTAATTCATCCCCCATTGTTCAAACAAATCCTGGGTTAAACTGATCCTGGAAAACCACTATATCTTATGGAAGGTTAAATGATTATTTTACACGATGTAAAGTTTTATTAACCACACTGGTACTAAATTCAACGACTATCATTTTATTAAAATCTAAAAATGGGGTTCTGTAAGTTATTCATATGTTTATTTCTATGTCTATTTAGGAAATGATTGACGAAGCGGATAAAAACGGTGATGGAGAGGTCAGTGAAGAGGAATTTCTGTGGATTATGCGTAAAACAAATATTTTTTAAAGTGAAATCAAAGATCAAAATTTTTCCATTTCTTAAAGAAAGATATTTTTTGACATTTGCTACATATTAGTAATTGTATTATTCACTTCTGTGTAATTATGACGATTCACTTTTTAATAACTTGATCTTTGTTAAAAAAATCACCTTTGTATTTTAGACATAAGATATAAGTAATTCGAAATCAGTATTTCAGTAACTCTATGACTATTATCAATCGATATTGCAAAGTAATCACTTTCTTGAGCCTATTAAACAAATACACACAAGTGAATACTTAATTATAAATCAATAACTCAATATATCCATCGCTCAGACGTATGTTATGCTCGAAGTTTTAGCTCTTACTACCTAAAAAATCCATCGGTCAGTACCAAACAAAAAATTAAACTGTTAAACGGATTTCTGCTTTTTATTTTAATAAAATTCATTATTTTTATTTATGTTTATAATGACAGTATTAACTTTTGTTGTATTTTCAACAGTATATTTGTTCATCAAGTTGAACAGTTTAACATAGATGATTGATGCTTTCTGTCCGATCTTTTAAGTATTGTTATTATTAGTTATAAAATATATGACATTCGCTGTTCAAAAGGATTTGGTTGTGACATAGAGGAGATGATTCTTCTATTGCTTAACCAAAGATAAGATTCTTAAATTGGCTATGCATATTTTGAAAATGTCTTTAATCGATACATCGTAGATGTTGGATTAGGGCTATTTAGTAATTATCATTTTACCTATAAAACTGTTAAATACAATAGATTAGATCTCTTCATTTTTGTTTGACTGTTAAGATAGAACAAATCCCTAAGAAACGTTCATAAATGGTGACTTAAAAATGTAACTTATACGCACCAGACATTGAAAAGTTGAATATGCGATAATCACGCATCGATACTGCCATACAATATGGTAAACTTTAATAATGGTAATGTTAGGAAAACATTTCACCAATGAGGGAAACAACTGATACAATATCGTTGAAGTGAACTAATGGGTTTTATATCGAAAATACTAAATATTTTAATAAAATAGATTCTTTAAGATGAGAACGATAGTCCGCCATTAGCAAATATTCTTTTACAAAAATAATAAACCAAAAAGATTAAATATCATCAACCGTATAATCTTTGCAAAACTTCCGGAGCAGTAACTGAGTTGCGCTTAAAAATGCTGAAACTAAAAGATAAGGTTTTTCTAACCGAGGTTCTTTTATGAAAAAAATAAACAAAGTTTAAGTGTTGATTGTGAAACTTTAGAGTGTTAGTTACACCAAATCTAAGCATCCGAATAAGAACCAATTTCACGAGCGGTTTTCGGTAACGAAGAAGTAAAATTCATCATGAAAATCATAGAAAAATCTAAATAAATGTCACCATACTGAATAATTTTCAGTATTATAGAGATTTGATTACAAAAAGGAAGAATTGGTGATGTGGATAAAAATAATTGGCACATTCCTAATCAGCTTTTGAAGAACGTTTCATTCATTAGGGAAAAAGCTTAAATAATTAATCCGTTTGAAGAATATGAATAATGCGATAAGACGAAGATTATCAAAATTATGTGATATATTTGCGCAATACTTTTTGAACAATATGATCACATATATACTTGTCAAGACATTATATCTAAAAAACAAAAGGTCAACTGGACAAATTTAACAAATCGTCTGACAGAAAGCCTCAGTCGGTTTTTTAATTGCTAGTAACCCCAGGGTAAAACCTGCACGGCAACTTGAACACGAGAGAAGAAGCGCGAAATGTGGAAAAAACGCTTTACTTCAGGGTTTGTTCATGTACAAAAAGCTGAGGGCATTCATTGCATTTCAGACAGCGTTGGGCTTTTGAAAAGTTTTGGAACTCTTTTAAATATAGCAGCAGGTTGGGTAATCATCCAATCAGAATCATGACACCTTGCTCTTCACTTTCTAGGTGTTTCTAAGACACTTCTGCTGAATTCTGATTGGATAAAGTATTTCCCGGCGTTTTCAGGACTCCTTTGGGCTTCTTCAAGGAATTTTTTGGATCACCGTAACAAAATCAAAAGACAAACGGTAACAAAGATAATAATAGAACACACGCAAACAATGTGAAAACTACGCTGGATAATAAATCAGTACTGACAGGGAAGGTTAAGGGTAAGAATAAACTGTTTTTGAACATATAAGGGGGTCCTAGTTTTCGTATAATCGACGCTCCAATGAACACCAGTGGACGCCCTTCAAAGATTTTATACAAAACTACATAGGCTGACTTGACATCAACCATATGACCAGGCTCAACTAAGTGTTTCTCAATGGAGGATGATATTCGTCTATCCAGTGATCTTAGTTGACCATTCGAATTCATTTGGTTTTGCAGCCTTTAAGGTATGTGCTCAACCGCCCTTACTTGCAGCTCAAGATTGCCTCTCTGTACGTACATGTTTCCGTACATATATGTGAATCAATAGACTCAATGGGATGTGACACAATTGCTTACACGTTACTTGGGTTTTTGGTGTAACACAGACCTTGAGTTTTTGAGAATGACGAGTTGGCCTGCATAAAATGTTATATTGATAGCTTATTTGAGTCTCTATTTCAACATTAAACTATTTGAGTCACCTCTAAAAGGTAAGGCGATTTGGAGTTGTTTTGGGTGCCAAAATCATCATAGGTCTACTGCTACCTATCCAAAGGCTTATAAGCTTCAATTAGTAACCATTATTCAATATCTCAGTTAGGAGCTTCATGTCTCCCTCACAGTATCGTTAGTACAAATACGATTAGTCAAATGGAATAAGCCCTTTATTATTTATTTATTCAGATAGATTTTCTACATACACCATAAACATATTTGCCAGTAACGGTCCCAAAGGACTATCTATAGATACGCGATCAATCAGTCAAAAAGGCTTCTTCTAAAAAGCGAAGTTCATATGGTCAGTGCGTAGTTATATAAGTATTTAAGAGCTCTTACGGGAAATGGGAATGAGAGGCTATTTTATGAGATATAGTCACACTGTAGTAAACAAGAACACCAGTGGGGACAATCAAATGTATATAACACAAAATCACAGGACTTGTTAATAAAATCTAACAATCATGTAGTAAATGCTTAATTAGCAAAATGTTCACCAATCGCCTCAAAATGACTCAGACTTCCTTGTTCTTACATTTTCATACAAATTGCATCCTGTTTCGATTCTTTACTGTTCGATCCTCTTGTCTCTCTACTGCCAGACCTTCTGTTCACGACTAACATCATATACTACTTATGTCAATATAGGTAGCACACACCAGAACACAAAATATCAATAGTCTTTCTAAGAGGTATATTCGTAAATAAAGTGTTTACATCAAAGCATCACATTATCTTAGTGTTTATACTATTATTAACTAGGTAAACAATTAATTCAAGTGAGTTTTTCGAAGAATACTCGCAAATATGGTTTCGGATAGTGTTTAATACGACTAGGACTACAGAACTAAACAAGCGTGATATCAGTCACCACTGAGTGATCAATCAATGTAAATATCTGTCGTGAAGGAAGTGAGTCGTAGTCCAAAAGAGTTTATGCTGATGTTTTCAACTGTAAAGATTGGTGGTGTGGGTTCAAATTTCACAGAAAGCACCGATTATCTTTAGATTTCAGATACACTTTACTGACGAGTGCTAGCAAGCAAGAAACGTACACTGAGGAGGGTTTCCTTCTTAGTGTATGCCTTCTACCAACATCAAAACACATTTAAATATAAAGGTACGAATTGAAACATAATTCGACATCTTAGGCAATTAGAAAATGAAACTTCTGAGATAATTATACTCTAACAGATATAAACATGGCTATCATGCTTCATTATTCCCTGTCATATCTAAATACGTTTATAAAAATAACGTATTCAAATATAAAATTACACATGAAAAGTGTGCACTATATTCGGGTCACTTCACCATTCACAATTACTCACGGATTTATATGATGAACATTTCAAAATTCAAGTCTTTTATTTATAAAATGCAATTTCCTGTGAATGTGGCTATCTCTTTTGGGTAATTTAGTCAGTCTTTTAACTGTAGAATCTGATAGGAGTTTATTCAACCAAATTTATATTATTCATTCCCACATCTGTGGTTTATCATGCTATACACTTTTGAGCACTTATAAACATTTTACCCAGAGTTGGATAGTGGTAAGCAGTGGTATCCAGGACACATTGAACATTGGAAATATATTACAATTGAAACTTCTTGATAGATTATGTATGATATACATAAAGTTCAGTTAAATAAATAATCAGAACTCTGGTTTGGAATGATGAAAAGAGTTTTGGATCTTAACCACATCTATCTTTCTTTAACATGGAAAGATAGTAAAAAACTGGGAGAGTTCTAATTCGTTGTTTAAAAGTGTGACATTTTATGTATATTAACCTATAACTGGGGCTAAGAGTTTTAGTCAACCAGTGAATTCATAAACATAACTGTCAAATGCTAATAGCCTAAATAGACCACTGAGTTTGATTGAAAAGAACAAAGAATGAAACTTCTCATTGAAAATAAACTGATATAATGTGAGGTTATAACATGCAGATGATAACCACATGTAAGATGACAGGAATGTAAGAATATATGGATAAATAATCTGTCATATTAAGACCCATCCATTTTCATAGGACAAAAGATAGGCAAAAATATATTTGGTAAATTATTTTATGTGGTGGGGAGATTTGTAGTTGTGGATTTATGAGATGCATTATTTCAAAATTCGGGTTCATTCATCTGACTGTAAACAATGAGCATATGGTGGTGTTTTCATTCTGTCAATCACAGCGATATAAATTCTAGCTAGAGTCGTCATTAGTGTAGGTAGACAAGTTTAAATTCTAATATGGATCTAATTATACAGACCATACTCAGAAAGTCTTATCCGTGTGTGGTGTGGCGTGGAGTCGCGGGTGACTTTGATCACCACTACAAGAATGTTGCGTACCAGATGTCAGAAGGCGATTAGAGAATGTAGCGAGATATATTTGTTGACGATCTCGTGGTATCGAAAGAATACCGAGATCGTGCCAGGTTACAAACGTGGTTTCTGAGCGTAACCGAGTTCGTGCAAGGTCACAATCAACGGAAGGAAGAATGTTTTTAGTACAGTTAGACAAACAAGTACAGTAAAACAATCACTGGTACAAATGATTATACTAATAATTATTTCCATTAAACCAATCGCGTTCTCTTGATAAAAGTAGGTCATTACAGGAGCTCCTCGCTAGAAAGGTGTATTCATGACTGAGTATCTCCAAGGCTGGAAAAATAGATGAATAATCTTTTAATCATTTCTGTATTTTCTAATCCAATTGATAACAAACTTGACATTTGAATAAATTAGGGATCTTTGGTTTCAGTTTAGGTTCAATATTTTTTGGCACCGTGTACACTACTAGGTTCTCTAAGTATATTGGCAGCTATGCTAATATTTAGCAGCTTTATAGACTAATGCCCCGTTTTGGTTTTATATTATCATTAGCTGCTTTATTCAATGTTATATTT